ACATACCCTGTAAACGGCTAGATAGTAAGCACGATAAAAATGATCTGCAGGTGATGAAGTAAAGCCAGGAAGAAAATCTTCGCGAGGATAGTGAAACAATCCGAATGATTTCATGGATATATCGTCGTTGAGCATTGACCGGCATCCAAACTCTAAATAATTCAACTGCATCATCAAAAGCCCTCATTGTCAGTAAATCTAATCTTCATTATCGTATATGGTTATAGATATGTATAAGACTGACACATTACATGTCGCTGCACCTAATGCCAGTACAAAACCAATTAACAAATTAATACTTAAAACTGAGTATCCAAATAATGAAAAAAAACTATGAAAAGGAGTCTTGCTGAGCAATAAAAATAGATATCCTAACTATTGATTTGCATCCCGGGCTAGAATACCCAATTTCAGACGTGATCCTTTACCAAAACTTGAGACTGCAAGTTCCGAAATAGCAGTAATCGACTGTATATAGCTCTGTGTTTCGACATTAAAACAGTACTTACTGATGGGAACACAAAGCCACATTTGTCATGACATTATACAACAACTTGGGAGATGCACGAGTTTTCGTGAAGAAAGCACATATTTTGCAACATTCGAAAACTTTTTGCGGGTGTTTGGGCGCATGAGGGATAGATACTTCACTGTCTAACACGAAACACCTCGAGCATGAATCCTTCTGCAGCAAAAAAAGAAGCACTGCATATGCTCTGAAGTGAATAAAAGGCTAAATGACTGACGAGCAAGTTCCAATTTGCAAGATCTGAACTCAGATTTTGAATACACGTAGTGCATAAGATAACTTTTACAAGGTGGTGGAAAGCACTTACTGTAGAGGTTTTTTGCATTAGATAATTTGCATGAAATCAAGTTTGCTACCAAACGTATTCCTCCTTTCCCACCTCATGGTTCTTATAATGCTATGATAGTTGAGTTGGTGCGTTTGTGTGCTTCAATGAAACCAGTAAACTGGACTCCTTTAGCACGAAATACAATACGAATATTCAAAAGAGTAAGTTACACTAGCCTTTTCCCATCATCTTCCAGAGAAAAGGGATTCTGTCCGGATTAAGCTTGCGACTTCTGGGCAAAATCCATTCGCTGTTGATATCCCCAAAATTGTCTAGCTTTGGTTCTTGTAGAGCCTCGGGAAGATCTCCAGCAAGGATTGGTATTATGTTTGGTTCTGAATTATCTCCAACCTGGAACATCTCCAATTTTGGCAAAGACTACAATCAAGTATTCAAAATACTACTCTTCAACTTGTCCGTTTAAATTTTCAATTTTATGACTATGCGTTCCTGGAAGTTTACGCCTTAAGATTCTCGGACTTTCTTAAGTGCTATGAGAAATGAAATAATTTCATGTTTAGCATATTGAGTTTTTGGGTTTCAAACAACCTGTACTCTCAAATCACACATTTGTGCACGGAAGCCACTCCCGACCTTTGATGTGCACGAAGCACAATGATATTTGATTCAATATTGAATGAATCACTTCATCTCTCCCAGTTCCCCAATTTTCATCGACTAAGCTCACAAATCATTGGCATGTGTCTCACAACGTAATTTTGTTTGAAATTATAAGAGTATTTGTAATCAAGCTCACCTTGGTGTAACCATATAGAAGTTCGTACCCTAGTTTGTTCATCGTCTCCATAGTACGGGGCAGATGTCGCATGAACATTGTGCGGGACGTTGAATCAAAACCAAGAATATCAATGGAGTAACGCTGATCGGTTTCCTTTTCTGATTGCAGTGGACGCTTTCTGCCGTAATCGTCAAACGAGTTCAAGTCTTTCACAAAATA